TAGAAATTTTCAGGGCAGTTTTGAATGTATTCACATGAAACTGAGGATTGATTTTGGCCATAAAAACCCCATCGAATCTCTGAGTTGATTTTGTCAAAAGACTTTTGGCCAGTCTTCACTGCGTTCATAATAAAAGTCTACTTTTAAAGCTATTCTGCATAAATTTGAAGCTTATATCCTGCTGAAAAAATTTCAACTTTAAATCCCATCTGACGTAAAATTGGTAATACGTTATTGAATCAATTCACAAGATGATCATTGATCACGTTTCAATTTATCGGGAAAACGTCCGGAAATTCAGTACGATGTAAGAAATAAAGAATCCCACATTTCTTGCGGTTTTTTTTTCAGAATAGTTCATCACGATTAACTCGCTTTTCTTGAAACAGAATTTGCTCAAGTCTCTGGAGTTTCGAGAGAAAAAACCAGCTCAATTTCCGCGTCCTCAACACCGCAAAAAATCCCTATTCTTGACTTTCTTTTCGAATTCAATGAACTAACCGTCTGCCCCTCGTGGCAGCGGGGTGCCGACAGGACTATATAGGATAATAGAAAACGCTTGAACCCTGAGAAATATATATAAGGCTCGTCTTGAAGGTAAGAAAAAGGTCGGGCCCGTCGTTTTTTTTATATTTATTTTTATTTTATTGTCGCAATTTTCCCTGCTTTCGGCCTAAGGGACAAGTGATGGCCGTGGCAGACAAGCCGGTGCCTGCAGCAAACGAGCCCATTTTCCCCGGCTTGTCCTGAACTCTGCCCCTCCTCTGGAGCCTCCATTGAATATTTCACAGACTAATAAAAATAAAAAAGAAGAAGCACATTTTTGAGAGAGAGAAAGAAAAATAATTACAAGAAGCTGTCTCCTGCAGGCAGCAATAACATACGATTCTAAGAAGAAAGCAAGACGCTTTTGGTGGTCAAAACGTCGATGGAATCTTGTTTGAAATCCAGGAATTTGAGCGATGATTTTTTTTTTGCTGAAGAACATGTGAAGGTGAATCTTGAAATGGTTGGAAAAACGAAAAATCTTCAAGAATTTGCGGGCTTAGGATTTACTACATAACTTTTAACCACAAGAAAAATCACTCTTTGGTGCTCCGTCAACACAGCTGAAGAATATAAGAAGCACATTTTTGAGAGAGAAAAATAATTACAAAAAGATATTTCCGTCAGAAAACAGTATACGATTGTAGGAAGAGAGCGAGACACTTTTGGTGGTCAAAAAGTCGATGGAATTTTGTTTAAACCCCAGCAGGAATTTTAGCCAATTTTTTTCCCTTCTGATGAATATGTGAATATGAATCTTGACATGGTTGGGAAAACGAAAAATCTTCAAGAATTTGCGGGCCCAGGTTTTAATAAAATTTTACACAATGAAACTAATTAGCGCGTAGAAATTACATGCTTTGGTAACACAGCTCATGCGCAAACAAATGAACGTATACACAGACTATGAAATGAAATCCTGAATTTAATGCTAGTGACATCTACCTAAACGAATGCAAGTTGTCATTCCAGCGGACACATTAGGACCATCCCTGGCATAAATTTAAAGTGTCTCACTGTGCAATTAATTTTTGAATACATTATATATGCATTTTTAACTTCGGTTCTTACGCCTAAAAAAAAGGGGCTGACATTTTTCAAAAAATTGGAAAATACGGTATATTTTAAAAATTTCTAAAATTTCCCTCTAGGGCCCAGAGATCCAGGTTTTCTTACTTTCAGAAAAATTTGGTCCCCTTGAAAAGCAATAACTCTGATTTGAATCACATTTTCGTTGAACAGATCTTCTGTATTACTCATGTCTTTATTTTTGTGGGTTCAATCCTGGCATGAAACGTGATATTAAGAAATACAGCTTGATGAGAAAAAAATAAAAAAAATTTCTTTGTTTTCCAAAACCAAAAAGGAGCCCTATTTATGTCAAAAAGTGACCAATTTTTCAATGCATGTGACATTAATTTACGAGCAATACTACATGCGAATGGGAGGTTTCCGTTGAATACATTCCATAGTTTTCTTATAATTTTTTTTCACTTTACAAAATATAAGCTAATTCATTCATAAAGGCCACGAGGAAAAGCCCACGATGTTTCCTCTTTCTTTCCAGCAGAAAAGAAGATTGCAAGTACACAGATACATCTTCCTGCGGGAAGTTAATCTATTCTCGCCCCCCACGCTTTTAGTATTTTTTCTTTAAAAAAATTGTTTATTCGGCGTACCTTCGAATTAATATTTTGGAAAGGGTGTGGAGCAGTCTTGTTTCGTTTTGTTTTATATACGTGGTGATTAACTAAGTGTGGACCATGACTTACCTTCATGTTTCGTGGCATACTTTCTTGACAGTTCATATTTTTATTTTCTTGATGTAATGCTGTACATGATGTCTAAGAAAAGAAAGCTCGTGACTTGTTAAGACATATTTTCATTCGCGGGGTTTGACTAGACTAATTGCCCTGTCAACTTGTGGGGAGAAGTCTACATTAGCTTTGGGTACTGAGATATGCTGATGGGTGAAAAGTTATTTTGACTCCCTCCAACGTCTATTTTTTTTT